AACAAAAACTCATTTATTCAACGCTTTTTGTATGTAATTTACCTAAAATATTAGCCGCTTTTTATTCAGCTTTATCGTTATATGGAGAATCAAAAGTAATAAAGTCATTTGCAGACATAAAACTGTGTTCGACAGATATACATAAGAAATATGAAGGGAATCTTAACGCTTTACCGAAACACATTTTTTTATTATTTTGAATATACACAATACTATGTTTTTGTTACAAATATTTGTGTTTTAGAAATGTGTGGACTAATATTATATTTTAAACTTTTATAAAAAGTAATTACTATAAATAAATATAAAAATCTAATCATACTTTTTAACTCCGGATTAGGTACCTTTAGGCACATACCTACGTATCATTAATTTAATAAAAACTGACAAATTACTGTGTTATTATAAGAAAATTATAATAAATTGAGAGCATACGAAGAAAAAGTCGTCCATTAATCAAGATCCCGCCAATTCTAACCTACGACAGATTAATAAAAATTTGGCGCCAACGGAACGTGACATAACATGCTGCGTCCAGAAATTGTCGATAAGTGCGGAAACGTCCAAGGTCATGATAACAGGCATATTGCGTGGGATCAAGGTCGAACGAATTTTAACCCAAATGACTCACACACATGTGGCATCCGAACTAAGCTACACTTGATATTTGACGTTTTTATTTGAAAGCATCATTAATTCTTATTTTGTAGAATAAATAACTAATATTAATATGGTGAATGTAAATAAACTACAAATAAAAGTTTTCATGGAATAAGAAATCTTTTAAAAACTAACTTCAATAAACCTTGCTTATTTAGTTCAATAATTATTACGGCAATAAAAGTATTTAAAAAGCCTAAATCGTACAAAAGAATTGTAGTCTTAAAAACTTTTTGGAAAGACAAAAAAATACAGTTAACTCGTCCTAACGTATTATGAATCTCATGTAGTCAGAAATTGAAAACTCTTTTTAATCTGTCTTTTGTCAAATACCAGGTAGACAGATTACAAAAGTCGACTTCATTGAACATTCAATATTGCACTGAACACGTACAATCACGTTGTAAATGCTTAAGTTTTATTACTCAATTGTTTTTATTACACAAATAATTTAAAAAAAATTAAACTACTACTTGCTAATGCTTATTTGCAAAACTTGTATCCTAACCTAACCTAATAATTAATCTCTTCTATTTAAATTAAAAATTTCAAATACAACATATGAGTTAAAAGTTAATTATATACCATGCAAAAATTTGTTCTACTGACCTTCGAAATAATCCATTTTAAAACTAGGATAGAGATTGCAAGGTGATATAGAGGACGACGTTACACGTTAGTCTATGCCCTTCATGGCTTGAGTATATTAAAGCCTTTTTAAAAATTAAATTTAAAAATATCAAAACTGTTTTGATCGTGACTGTACCGAAATTCAAATCGCAGGTGTAGTCATTCGTCTCAGGGTATCTCTGGCGATATTTGTAATTCGAATTGCATTTTTTATGGCATATATTATGCGTGGGAAATATTACAAGCTGGTTCAGTCAATGGTCAATTTACTGAATAAATTTTTTGTATTCATAAAAAAAATCTTTGTTAAAATAATTCAAAAAAATCAATCAACAACATTTTGGATATTTAAGAATATAAATATGTCTAGTATTAATTTATTAAGAAAAACCTAAAAGAAAGATAAAATGAAAACATTTATTGCAACACATTGAAAAAAAAACATAGACTAAAAATAGATTAAAATGTGGCAAAGAGTAGGCAGCGGACGAAATACAGGAACGAACTAAACCCTCCTTACAATGTTTTTAAGCTGGCTTCATGTCACAAGACATAGAATTAATTCAACAACAGTTTACATTTATAAAATACGAATCCTTTTCACGAAGGCTCACGGTATACCCTTTACCTAGATTAATTACTCCTATAATTTAATGTATATATTATAGATAATAGCTATCGCGGTATATTATTCTTTCCAAGTCATTGATTTTTTAACGGACATTCACTAATAATTTATAGTAGTCGTAAAATCTAACGTTTTACGACATTCAGCCCTAATGAAATTTGAATTTACGATAGCAGGTAGCACCGGTACCTTTGTATTTCTATAAATATTATCCTATTATGTCAACCTGTGGCCAAAACACATGAAAATTTTGACATCTTAATCGTTAATTATGAATGACGTATTGCGTTTTGAAATTCGTCACCCATGACATATAACGTCAAAAAAATTGAATGAAAAAATTAAAAGTGTGGATTATGACGGTTTCACCCCTACTTTTTTTTAAATATGTGTATCAATGCAACACCTTTAAATTAAATAAGCTTAAGTTCAAAATCCCTCTGATAAATCTCGCATCTGCCAAAATATACGTTTTGTTGACATCCAGTTCGGAAACGGCTTCTATTTCCGGCGTCTATTTTTTATCTATAGTAGATGGGATAGAATGAATAAAATTATCCGAAGGGTGCTTATTGTGAAAGGGTTTGTATGTCGTTAGGGTGAGCGTGATCTAATTTTTCTAGGGTTTTGTTACATGGACGGGGGTTGAAAAATCGAATATGACATTACGCCTACCACAATTTTAGTTTTATTAAAAGAACACGCTTATATGTTTCTCTTAATTTAATTCCAAAAACCATGATATCTTTCATCATACTACGCCATAATAATACATAGATAAATAAAAACTAACCAACTATTAGTTAACTGTTTATTTTACATAATTGAATAGCATTATATTTATTATTTAAATAAGATTCCAATAAAGTATATTTCCGCGAAATGTTAATTCATAAATAAAACCTTTAAGTAGACGGCCTTCTTTGAAACGATGACAATTGTTTTACTATTTTAAAAAAAACTAAAAAGTTGGGCGGAAAGATCAGTGAAGAGTTTGTTAATGGTTGGGACAGGTAGTCATTTTTTGTGTTCATAATTTGTCGGTGTCTGTTAACTCAGTGTGTATTGATTACGGTAAATCCTACCTTTTATTTTGTGAGCAATCAGTATAATAAATTATGTCAATTTTAAAATTATTTATTATCAAATAGATATGCACAATTAATTAGATACACAAAGATAAGTAAAAAAGTTAAATTATTTTTTAATATTTTTCTTCGAGATTAATGTGGTATAAGTAATTTTAATCATTACATTATATTCGTTAATAGTTCAATAAAACATTTTAATATTTTTTCATCACAAGAACAACGCGTAAAACATAATGTCGGTTAAAAATTAAAATCGTACGCTGCGTAGGTATTGTTTGCTTACAAGTACGTTTAGCGACATCTGTTGAAGAGAATGCGCAACTAAAGTTTGTTACTATGCGGGAGAATCTAATCACGAACATTATAAAGCTTGACTATATTAATAAATATTTATTGTGATTGTTACTAAATAATAAATAAGAGGTTTTGATAATGAATGCAATAATTAACCTTAAAATAATTATATATTTAATGAAATTACTAAGAGTAAATTATGATTATGTATTCGATCAGCCATGTTTGATTAGAAAATATCAATAAATAATCTCATATAACGTTCGGAATTAAAATCAACCGCCATACGGCGTCCCTTTCAGAGGAGGGAGAGGGAAAGACTTTTATTAGTCGCAAGTAGGGTTACCCCTAACATACCTACATTTTATAGGGATACGGATTGATTATAGTCATCTAAAATAATTTTGTGACAATTTTTATATCTTTCTCGGGACATGGTGATAGTCGGTAATATGACTAGTTACTAATCCTATTAAACAGGTATTTTGTCGCATATTAATGCAATTATGTCAGTAGGAAGACATCTATCTGTATTCAAATTTGAGGTTATTATGATAAAAATATATAATTAAGGATAAGGTCTAAACTCAAAAGTATCTATGGTTGTCCGTAATTTATGTTTGACATAAGGGAGCCCTACACTTAGGTTTGCAAAGTCGATGCTGATTTTTTTTATTTCGCTGGGAATGCAGCGTGGAATGCGGGTCGACGAACTTTATGGGGGGAAAGTAATGCTCGATCCTATGATGTATTACTGTGCATAGATAACAAACAATAAAGTTGCCATTCGAATGTGTTATGAATTAATTGAAATAAATCATCATGTTGTTTGATTAATTACTTCGATTTTTTTTGTATCCTTACTATAAAAGCGGGAAATGAAGTTTGCGTATGTATCGGGCTATAAAGATTATTAATTTTGTTTATTGAAATATAACGGTCATATTTTTCCAATGTCTAATACATTATTTCTTTATATGTAAGCATTTAAGTAGGTTTCTACTCTATTCCGTACGTAAAGTTGCATTTTATAGTGCAGAACTAACCGTACAATGCAAAGCTAAGTACATTTTACGACTATGAGCCCTAATTGTTTGCAATGCAAGCGCTCAATAAATAATACGCGCCAATTCATCAGAATCGCTCAGGTATTTCTGCTTCGCGCCATAAGCCTCGATCTTAGGAATGTCGACTGACTAGCTCCGATAGCGGCAGCTGTGAAAAACAATACAACAAACGTTCTAGCCAGAGAAAGACCGGCGGCCGAGTGAGGAGAGGACACGACAGCTAGCGCTAGCGGAGAGCCGGCCGGCGACCAGCGCTCGCCTCGATTTTCCTCCCACAGCGTCAGAAACCGCACCTTACTCACACAGCCGACCATTACACACACATACAAACGCAACGTAACGTCGATGCGCTGATTTCCTTCCCCGAGCACTTGTGAGGCGCGAGTCGCAACATATTTTATGACATTATTCGGTATTTATGCGCTTCTACAACATAAAAACTATGTGACCGCATGTAGAATTGATATGTGAACATATGTGTTATACAAAATCGACAGGACGAAGCGTATTTTCAGAGGATTTCGTGAATGGCAACGAATTAGCCGGGCCGGCAGAGGTGCGGGGCGCCGCGAGCGGCTTCGGCGCGGAGGGGGCGCCGCGTCAAAGCCCGGAGCGCGAGAGCGGCCGCTGCCGCTACTCGCTCGCCACCTCGCGCTTCGCCAACTAGTCGTGTCCACGGCGCCACCCGAATAGCACGCGCGGCTGTCCTTAGAACCGGCCGGCACCCGAATAATGTTTCAGTGTCTGACAAACTCAATAGGAGGTCTCGGAAGAAGTACCGTATTTAATTTACACTGTATAACCAACCGCATATTCTCAGTGAGTGTTACGCAGTGTGTACGGAAAAAACTTTGTCGAAGATTCTGAAGAATTCTGTGTGAAATTGTGTAACTCGCCGGCCCCAGTCGGATCGCGTTTTGCACAAACTTTTCGGTGAGCTATTTTATTCCTATTGCTAAAGTGTCATTCATCAACATTGTTCAGCAATTTAATATTGTTTAAAAAAGCATCAACAGGTGCGGGTAGTTATTTTATAGGTTTATAGCGTATTAGTTGTCGGCGGGGCGTTGCCGACTATGAAATGAACTTCGGCTTGTTAGCGTTTCTGCGAAAACCAGGCGCCCAAATTCCTTACATTGCCGTAACTATTGCCGCGGGTAAAACAGAATTTCATTATAATTTTAACTCTCTTTTAAATTATGCCTATTTCATTTAATGCATTGCACAATAATAATTTTTTGTTAGGAAACTTAACCATTAAAAGTAATAAAATAAGAATCTCGTGCAGTATATAAAATAATTACGACGTTATGTTAAAAATAATAAATTTAATTAAATTATAGTAATTTTATAAATGAAAATAATTTTCGACATACAAAACAATTTCGGTTATTTAAAACTTATTTTTCAATATTTGTTACGATTTATAATTATTGAAGTTGTAATTTAATTTCATAATATTTCACATTTCACAATATTATATTGAATGTCAATGTTGCATGAAGTGCAGAAACATGAATTGCATAATATAAAGCAAAATTCATCCTAAGTAGTATATTATGTAATTTTTAAAAATAAAAAATGTCAATTAAAAAATATAAGAAAAGATATTAAAATTTTTAATATCTGTGAACTTTTATGTCGGTACAAAAATTTTTATCGCACATTTTAGTCATTATTTGGATAAAATCAATATTAATAGCGAAAAAAAAATATTTCCATGAATTGTTATATTTTGCTTATTTGTCAATTTTAGAAAACTAATTTAAACAAATAATAAGTCTCATAAAATGTTGCAAAATTGACACAAACCGAATGTTATATATTTTTATAATAATAAAAATACTTCATAACAAAATTTTACTACTATTAAATACAAGAGTGTATGGAAAAATTTCTTCTATTTTGTGTGTGGAATTCAATTGAAGTGTAAAAAGGCGCGCAGAGTCGCTGTATTGGTAAACACTATGTTTTCGCGCCATTCTGCGCTTGTAAACAAATGCTCTTTTTACAAGTCGTAGCCGTCTACCTGGCATTGACGATTGTTCGTGGAATCACTACCGTCGACATCCAGGTAGATTGTAAAAAATATGCGGGGATGGTACTCCAAGGATAATAGCTAATTTTTGTAAGAATTGGAATAAGCCTCAAGGCCAAAGTACCCTTTAAAACAGTTCGTTCTCGTATCCCGCCTTCAGTCTTGTTTTGGACACCGAGGTGGACACTTCCCGCTCCCCGACTTGGTGCTCTAACGGGATTTGTTTGTAAATACAAGGGGGTCAACACCCCTTGTGTTACGAATATCTGTTTTGGTTTTTAACATTTTCTAAAGTTTTTAAGTTTGATAGTTAACAGTGAATTTAATTTATTTCAATCATAAAATAAATAAATAAGGTACTTTAATTGTGAACGATGTGCAATAATTAGGTAATGCAATTAAATATGTAGTGTGTGTAGCTTTAATTTTCAGTTTTAATATTTTAAACAATCCTATTATTCGATATCAGTATGATTTGTCGGACTCCTAACCATTTGCGTTACCAATACATAAATTATTTTAATAATTCTAAAACAAGTATTTCTTTTTGTTGCAGACGGTGTGCGTAGGACCCATCGCGCGCATCGTCCTTGTGATAAGGGGCTCTGTGATATCAAAAACTTCGTCGTAGCTTTAAAACTAGTTAGTATTTTAGTTTATATAAAGAAAGAAGAAGAAAAAAAATAAAAATGTCGCCACCGATCCTCGACCCCAACATACTGCAGTTTGACATCTGGGAGACATTGGATGAGGTGACGATGGAGATGGCTTCAACGTCCGAGTTCTGGACGCAAGTAGACTACGAGGAGGACCAGCTGGACTTTGTACCGCCGTCTAACCCGGACAGCCTGGACGACAGCGACCCGGACTGGCGGATACCGGACAGTCCGGAGGACCACAAAGATAACATCGTGCACCACGATTGTATGTGGGCGGGATCTTGCGTGGATTCGGCGGTGCACCCGTCCAACACATTTGTGCCAACGGACTTGATATCTGCGACGCCGGGCCAGAGCCTGTTGCGGCGGGACATCTCACCACCTCGACCTGAAACTCCGCCTTCACTGGACGGTGACGAACAGCAATACCCGTTCGAGCATGTGGTGGACGTAGCGAGTGCCGCACGCCGGCTGGTACGCGACTCCGCCGCCGTGGCCGCCGACCACTCCTACACCATAGCAAGACAACGCATTGACTACCTCGGAGTGCAGACGCCGTCTGACTCTTGTGAATCAGGTATGTTTTATATTCTTCAGAATAATATAGTCTAAATCTTTCGTGACCTAGATCTTAAGTTAGGTATCGCAGTGGTAGGTATAAGTTACTTTTGATGATTTTTATAAAAAAAAATCTCGTTATTTCAACGTACCCAAATAATCGATGCATACCTTCGTCAATACTTGACATATTTTCTATTGTACGATATCGTATAATAAATTTTTCAAAGCGAGATTTTCGATAAGTACACCGATTTATTTCTGATTCTCCCTTTTCTTCAACGATAAGTGTAGTGTTAATGAGTAAATCTAATAGTGAAATGTTATGATATATAATTGAGTAAGACGGCGGCGGTACAAGATGAGAGGAGGACGCAGGCGTAATTCTGCGAGCGCGGAAACTGGGAGTATCGACCCGGCTCCTCGCCCCGCACAGCTCGCCCCCCGCCCGCCCGGCTAGACGCACTCGCGCCTTCCGGAACCTCGCCGACCTTGAACGTACCAACCTTCCTTAATGTCAGAGCATCCTGCTCATCCCGAGGGACTCTATAATTACGAATAGTTGGTCCACATCTGAACCGCATTCGATTAAAACGGCGACGTTCAAATGTCATCGGTGCAAAGTTCGAACGCAATGAATCTGTCATTGTCTGACTGTTAATGTATTTCAATCGTCTGCAGATCGGTTAATTAGATTGTCTCGTTTACTCAATTTTGGCGGGAAGTACGTAACGTACGTAACGACACATGGGTTAATAATATTTACAGTTGTGACTCTCGACCTCGGTGCACGCTACACGAGTGCATCATTACTACGACTACAATGTTACGTTATCTATTTGCACTTTAGCTATCATCGATTGCTGCGTGTGAGGTCGCATCGTGGCTCGCATTCGTTTACGATGCACTTGTTGCACCGTTAGAATCGTAAAAAAATGTTTTTTATTTTATTCTTTTTAATTGTCAATTATGTTAAGTGACGAGTTAAAAATATCGATGTTCGCATTCACCGCGACATTCTCGCATCGAGTTGTCCGTTAGTCGCGCAAGAATGCGACGGAATGAAATGGAATCTCATTGAAGTGGAGCTCGGCTGGCCGGTCACCGGTCACCGGACCGGTTCGGAACGCGGTACGCCCGCTTCTAGTCCGGCCGGATCACAATTCATAGACAGTCGATAATTCGCGACAGTGAAATCGCCTAATGAGGTATTCGCTGCAAAGCTACATTCTAATCTATTTTATTTTCTATAAAACAATGCGATATTAATAACTCTGACGGAGTCAATTAAAAGATTGGTAACGGTCCGTATCGCATCACTAGCAGCCGCGCCAAATTTACGACGCATGCTCAGTTTTATCGCGCCATACGCCGAGGAGCGCGCCTGCTGCGAACTCAATAGATTCATTTTCCCGCGCAAAAATGTTGCGACAAAACTGTACCATTAATTATTGAATGTTATTACACGTACTTTTTGCAGCGGTAACTAGTATTTAGTTAGATACACATGTAACTTATCACAGAATAAAATTGAGTTATTTTCTGCGCCATGTATCGAATTAAGCTATCCGACAAAATTTCGGGTCACTAGTTTTATGGCTCTTTTTGTTGAAAAACTTCGTGTAATTTTGCAATAACGCTAGCTAGCTATTGCCGGCCGCTATAATTATAAAAGCGGCTAACCTAATAAACTTTAGACAGATAACCGAGTTAAACAGCTCTAGGTGCTTTTGACCTGTGTTTTATCTTGACAGATTGCGCGGCCGAGATTGTGATTTATGACATTTAAATTCTAGGTCCCGTTAAGTAAGTGGGGCAGTGGCTGCGCTATAGAATTGTTAAGTTCCTTTAAGGGCAATTCAGGGCACTAGATCCGGTTTTAGGCGCCCCCCAAACATTGCTCGGAACCGTGTCGGGGCCGACAACTGCGCTTACGATTTCGTACTTTTCGCGAACGGCGACAGAACAGCTGATCTATTTTTGAATACTGACGTAAATACTTACTAAGCAATGTTAAATATAATCACTTGATTAAATATTTGGTTAACATAGTTCATTCTTTAGCAACAGTATGAATTTAATTTTGTCGTATCTTAGAAACTCAGAACATCTGCTCAAAATACTTATTTGACGCAGGTTCCATGTACTAACTAAATCTATTTTTATATTGTATTTATAAAAAAAATTATATTGGTTCTACCAACAAGCGATGTGAATGTTCTCCGCTGCATAGATAACGCGATTTGCAAGTTCTTATGCCGCGTTTGAAACTGACCTACATATTGTTATATAGTCTTAGTTAAGAAGCCCAGTTTTCAACCAGAACTATTGTACAGAGTACAAGATTCTACTGATATTAATGCGGAAATTAGTACGAGATTTATCCGACCGTTGAGTGACATAAATGGTTATGAGAGCGATCGAATGGTGTCATTAGTTCTATCGGGTTTTTCTCGGTTAAATACGTAAAAAAAACATTCGATTCTTAACTGAATATGTGTGTGTGTTTGATGGTTTGTCGGACAGTAAAGCGTTTAATGTACAATTCATTATCAATTCACGATAAGTTGTCGCAGTCACCGGCTTCGTTGCCGTAGTGTTGCAAGTCGTAAAATACAAATGTCCCACTGTAGTATGTTCGCTGTAGTGGGAGCGACCTTGTCGTTATCGCGCTGAATTGTTAGATATTGTTTTAAACGATCGCTATATATGTGTGTGTAAATATTTCAAATCGCGATAAAAAAAAGTTATGTGACGTTAAATGAAACGTGGAAGTGCCGACTTACATTCCTCGACGCGTTCGCTACTGTGTACGACAAATTTGTAGTTTGTAAAGTACTTAAAAACATGTACTTCTGTCAAATACAATTCGAAAAAAGATCGTTAAGTCTAAAGAAAAGAAGAATAAAGCTATGGAAAGAAAGAATGCACTGGCAACTTAGAAATAGTTATAGAACGCAACTTCAACAGCGCGGAATTAAAACAAGTATTTTAGTTATAAAGCCTCAGTTATACTCAGTGCTAATATAGCTTTCTAATGGCAAAATCAGTTTTTAAATCGATCAATTCGTTTTTGAATTAATTCGTTACATACAAAAATACAAATCTTTCCTTTTAACTAATAAAGATAAAATAGAAGACGATTGAAGATGGGTACAAGTACATAAAAAGCCTTGAACGGAGGCTCAGTTTGGTAAATATCGCTTCGATCCCGCGGCCTTCGAGCATCAAACATCAAGTTCGATAACGGTTACGCAGTCGTCCGACTGGCATAAATTTGTATTGTCTTATCAAAAATATCTTACAATAACCACGTGATATCAACTCGACAACCAGATAATTTACAATTTCACCTTGATCTTTCCGACCTAATGATTATTTAATAATAAAAAAAATTATAATCTAAATCCCATATCTCTCAATTTTTCCATAAATTAGTAGTTTTGTCGCGGATAGCAACACTGTTTAGCGAGTCTATGTAGGTCGTGCAATCTATTATAATATGTATTACCAGAATTAGCAAAGCGGAATAATTTAAAAGCTATAAAATTTCGATGTGTAGAAACGAAACATGGCAACAATTTTAAGAACAAATCTTTTGATAGTTCAGTGGATTTTATTCAATTTGTCTCACGTTTGATTAATTTAAAATGTTTTTAATTTATATATGAGTTTTCAGACTTCCATTAATTAGTATATTTAATATTGATTTTATCATCACGTGTTTTTGGATGGGGCCATAAATACATAGACGATTAAAATGACGCAACAAGATTTCTTTGATAACCATTAACGTCTCGTTTATATGTCGTATTATTAATCGATTGACATTTACGTTTTAATGTCGATTTTAAATAAGTCGATTTGAGGATTTTAAACATTTTAAAAACTACCCTCAAATAAATTTTATATCAATATTTTGACAGTATCATTTTAATGGATCTCTGTTGAAATTAGTCTTATTCTCTTTCTGTATTAAATATTTCTAGTATCACCAAAAGATAACATACTCAATATTGAAATCCGGTTACATTCTCTCGTTCATTAGCACTCAATCGTTGGTTCGTTGGTTTGTTAGCTTTTTTCTACGTCAAACAGTCGCCCGTGAACTTCATACAAACCAAGGCCGTACGCCCAATCGATCCGCCATCATACCTCGGCCCATAAATTATCACTGCCTGATTTAGAAGGCGGCCGGTCTCGTACACCCGCCACTGCCTAGATGACCGACTTTTCTCGGTTGCGTAATACGCCGAAAATACACAGACGATCGGGTCAGCGATGGATTCGATCGCCATATTACGTTCCTACTCGAGACTATTAATATACCTTACAAGTCGCAATCCATCGATCTGTGGGATGGTACCTTCAGTTTGACGTAACCGATTTCCATTTAGGGCTCCAGCAGTAATGAGAAAACAATAAAAACATAAGCTGCGGCCACAGTTATGGTCTCTTAAGCTTATTATCGTTCAGCGGTACTCCAATGTACAGGATGTGTCGAATTGAAAATTTATTTTGCCGCGCTCACGCGACTTCTTATCGCAGATTAAATACTTTCAAGGCTGTTATAAATTCGCACAATAATCGTATCGATTATCATTTAAAATCCCATCGAGGAATAAAATTGATATCGTAATACAACTGATAGAGGCGCACCTTTATAATTATCAATATTTCGCGGACTTTTGATAGTCCATTACTTTTACTGTGCAAACTCCGAATGATCTAATTCTGAGGCAGTTCGTGGTTTGATTTGTGAACTTGCTGTATAAGATAGCGTGCATCGCGCGCACGTCATGAAAATTTTTAATTAACGCGTTCAAATGCCAGTGAACTTGGCCTGGGGCTTTAGAGCGTGGCGAGCGCCTTGCGGGTCATCCGTCTCGACTTCACAATAAAACCCTTACGGATATAATGTTTGAGACGTACCGATTAAAAAAGATACAGAATAATTCATATCAATCAATTAGTAGAACTAAATCTTGTATCGTATTTATGAAATCGGAACGTGGTTACTGTGTGAACTGAAATGTATTGCTGCCGCGCCCTATCGCACTCGTAGCCCAGAATTCAATTTATTTGTATTAGTTCCACATATTACCAATACAACTGCTACTATGCAATATTAATTTAAGATAAAACATATGAAATTATGGCTTTATATAAAATATTTCTATAAGTAAAAATTATCAGTAGGCAAACTGAAATATAAGGTTGTTTTTAATATCTTCATTATGTATTCTTACAAGGTTTTATCATTATTTTTAATGAGTGTAGTTTATAGAGGAATATAGTTGTACTTTATGTGATTTACGTTGTTGTAATGACTAAGATAGTATTTCAGTTGTAAATATTAATGTGCCGATTGCTCAATGTGGGTCTAAGCAAGTAATTGGCAATGCAGTTGAATGACTCATTGTATTTCTCACGGCGCAGACGTAGACAGAGCCTAGGAATTGTGACTAATATCGAGTGGGCTAACAATGTAGATACCATATCATCGAACTTTATTACATGTTAAGTATTAAAATTTAAGATTTGTTGACACACAAATCTATTTAAGGCTCTGACACACTCGGGTTTTCCAAACGTTACATTACTACAGACTATCTGCAGTGATTTAATGTGAGACGCGACATTTGAAATCACGTGTTAGGTGAGTAAAATAAGTAGTAACTGGTTAGGTACGCGCTAGAACGGAGCCGGCGGCGACAATGCGGCCGGTGTGGCTTACACGCTGAAAATAATACCGACCGTCGGTTGTTAATCGCCTCGGCGCCAGGGAAAGAGAAAATTGCGATGTGCGAATCTACTTCCCACACAATGGATACCCCGCGCCCACTGCCGCGCGTCACACAGATCATATACGCAGGACGAATGCGGCGCGTACGATAAGCCGTGTTACTATGCGGAACCGACGAAAAGATCGCGCGCGTCGGCGTTATTCCATTGCCGCCGAGGTCGTCTATCGCGAATGCTCAGTTTCGCGTATGTTTCGCAACTTTCGTCCTTGGACTGCTTAAACAGCTGCCCACGTGACCGGTTTCTATTTTCAACGCCTTAAAATCTAATCGGAAATTCACGGGTGCGGACTCGGGCGATTGCGTTCACTCGGGCGATCTGGATTGCGGGAACCGCTGACATAATTATTCGTTCGCGTAACGAGATAGCGCTGTCGAATACCGATTTTCCGCGAAATTGGCCCAGCATAGTAAACACGATACGTAAGTAGTAGGACTACATCCGTCGAGCGAGTACTCTACGCCCATTACCGCTTCCATTCATTATTACATCTGTTAATGACATCATTATGTAAATTGTGAGATAAAAGATTAATTTTATCCTGCTCATTTGGGAGTCCTAGTCCTATGGCTTCGATTCTAGAGAATGCAGGTACATTATAAGAGAGAGGCGCCCGTGTTGAGGCAGTTACCATTGACGCCATCGACTCCGTACGTCTCTCACATTTATATTCAGTAAAGAAAAAACTAGTTATCCATTCCGAAACGGCAAACTGCGTTCGCCTGTTGCTACGCGATTGTGCCCTAGCAACAGTAACAGGTTTTACTGGTCTCGAATCGCTCGCGTGTCTGCGCCGAGGGAGCGTGCTCACCGATGTACTAATGAAGCTCCTCTCTACCGTCATTGGGTTCGACAGCCGATGGCGACGCGCTAGGCGAGTCCGCGCCGTCGGACGGGCGTCCATTGAGTGCGGACGCTGCAGTATACGCCGCGCACGCGCTCTAGTTTTGGCGCGAACGCCCGTGACGTCGGCGTCCGGATCGATGTCCACAGACGCTGCGGTAGTACGCCGGGGTCGACGCCCTCGACCCCCTGCCTACCCCCGCACGCCTCCCCCTCGCCGTGCCAGCGCCTCCCACCTGACTACTGCAGCCGCATCCCTACATCACATCTAGACCCGCAATTGTATATAGACGACGCTACGGCGATCGCCCGCCTTTTATGGTGATGCGAACATTACGGTCGTTGCATGAATGAAAGCATGCGAGCTATGAAACTGTTAATGCGGGTTTTAATTTGCAATACAAATAAACGAACGCCAAACCGTACTCGGCGCTCGCATCGCTAGATAACAATACCGTTCTAGGAGATAAAAAATATACTAATTGCATTTTTAATTGCCGTGTTAATATTTAAGGTTCAATAGAATAAACTGTTTCTCTATTGTTGCAGAGGAGGAAATCGACGTGGTGTCGCTCGGTACGACTCATCAGCCTTTGCCGGGCACCACGCAGTCGCGTGACTCGTACTCTCGGTCGTCGTCGTCCCAGGACCTCCTGTACTCGCCTCAGCAGACCCCGCGACCGGCCGCAAGGAAACGTCTCATACCACCGACAAGCATACCCAGCGCCTCCGTACCGCGACGGAAAGCGCGCGGCCCGGGCCGGCGCGGCCGACGCTCTAACACCGACACCGACTCAGAAGCCGAGGCGCCCGACATAGAGCGCCGTTCCATACACAACGACATGGAGCGCCAGCGCCGTATCGGCCTCAAAAACCTCTTCGATGAACTCAAGAAGCAAATACCCGCGACCAGAGACAAGGAGCGTGCCCCTAAAGTGGTGATACTGCGCGAGGCGGCGGCGCTGTGCCGGAAGCTGCGCGAGGACGACTACGAGCGAGAGAACCTACAGAAGCAGCAGAACAAACTGGTCGCCAAACTAAGAAAGCTACGCATGATGGTTTCTCGCTACCGCGTGTATTGAGGGGCCGGCCGCTCTCTGCGGTGTTCGTTCGTTCAGGGAGGGCTCTCCGAGACTTCCGCGTGATGTTTGAGGACGCTAACTTTAGTAAGTTGTTCTGATGCGTATTATTAATGACGCCGCTAGGTCTTCGAAGAATCGACGGAAGTTCATTAAATTTCATCAAATTGTCAGCTTTTACGGCTTACTCTGCTTCTGTACGAATGTTGTAGTGATAAATAACCGCTAGTTAGTTTTGCTCAAACGATATTTTGCAGTGCCAAAGTGAGCCATAAAACTGGCATAATCGAGTCCCAGGACTTCATATAAAACATAATAGTTTACAGACTGTTGCGATAACTCGTAGACTGGTTTATACCTCTGAAATGTTTTTCGACTTATTGTTTAAAATTGTTTAATAAAATAGTTGCGATTATATTGAAATCGCCATTGAATTGTCAAAGATACATTTAACATGTTTCGGAAACGTTAAGTGATTTAGTTGAGCGTTTCTCTGTGTAAAGAGATGAGGTAGGGTGGAGAGGAGAAGAGAAGTATCCGATTGGGTTTGTCAGTGCTGTATATAGGAGTGAGTAGAGGCGTAGTGCCGACGGCGGAGACTTGGTAGGCTAGGCTGGCAGGTGGCCGCTGAGGGCCGTGAGAAAGTTCCGGATGTGCTGGCCTCTATATATGTTTTCGGCCCGGTTCGTAGGATTTTCTATTTCATCCCACGTCTCGCGCGCTCGTGCGGGAATAGGATAGTGATATCAAATATAGTTAACTCGATATTATTGTAAGTCTAAAATATGCATAGGTTAGTTTGCTTACGGTTTTTAGTGGTTTTTGTTATCATGTAAATTTAACACTTAATGTTTTTATATTTAGTCGCGCCATTGACCTCGATTCAATATTTTAAATGTATCATTACGAACGAAGAAATTATGGACCATTTAACTATTTTTTAATCATTATTTGTGCCTATATATTGCACGTAATTTACATAAAACTTTTTACGCATATGACTAATACTAAGATGGTTTTGTTCACGCTTGGAACGCGCGCTTTTCAAATTAATTTCGCGCTCTTTTTACTGTCACTCGAAGTGTATTTGGCGCGGCGGTGAAAAAAGTGATTTTAAAGAAATGTGTTTTACAGGCAAATTTGCACTTCGTTATTGTATATGCATTATTATTTCACCTAGTTTATACGGATACTTTATTTTGTACGTTGTGAATATTAGACAGATTAACAAATGTAGCTGCAATTTAGCTAAATAGTCCAGTGACTCAAAACAATGAAACATAATCTCAGTGACTAGTATACGTTTTAATGGCATAGACTGTGTATTTTGATAATAACATCATAATTACAATTATAACTACTTTATTTCCGTTAAGAAAATAAACATTAAAAAAAAATAACCACGAAATAGTTCCTCATAGTACCTACTAATAGAAAATTTTGCATTTTCTTTTATATAATATTTTACTGCAGTAAGTTAGTGATGTACTTTCGTTGTAAAGTCGATAGATGTTAAGCCAGGCTGTCAGATTGTGAAAGCGCTAGATTTTGGCCGGCGTCGAGGGCGCAGTAACATTTGCTATCTGTCCGGGCTTCATCCGCAGTTTGATGTATTATAAAGCACATGGTCAGCAGAATGAACGCTCGAAGGCTTTAATTGTGTGCGGAATGTGCCTTGCTATGTACATATAAATATATAGATAATATTAGGTTTATACTCGAATTAGTTGCAAGAAATATTTTTGTGAGATATTATGTAGGATATAGCGTTGTTTTAATAAGTAGAAACACGAGGAGGTTTAGAGTTATCCTGTTAAAGGTTTGCAGTTTATCTTCCATTAGCTGTTAAATGTACATAATAGAAAATAGATCATAGATGTACGTGATTTTTTTTTATAAACGAGTTTTTTTTTCTAGTAATCGTTTAATTTTTTTTTCTTAATGGGAGAGTTACGAATTCTCGAATGTTGTACCTGCATTTAATTTTTTTTTGTTATACTTGACATAAATAATAAAGTTATTGATGATTTAGCTTATGTTGAAAGTAACATTGGTTTCTTATTTGGTGATAACATACAGTTAAAAACTATAGTTTTCGCGTAAGGGAAAGTCAGTAGATAATGTTTAATGTAAGAGATGACAGCTTTATATTCGGTAGGCAGATCGAGATTACGGAAGTTTTAACGAATCAATGCACATCAAACTGTGACAAGGCACATTTCCACCATCGCCAAATGGTACGTCTTGGGTCAATAAAGTTACACATAGCATATACATACATAGCAACTCAATTTGTAAATTTTTATAAATAAGGTTGGGATGAGTAAATAATAGTTTAATTTCTATTGTGTAATTTTTATTTGTATAGTATCCGTAAGCGATTTAACATCTAGCCACCGTCGGGGCCAGTGGGGAATGTAAATTTTTTTAATGGTGGTCGATCGGGCGTGTTGCGAGCGGTGGTGAGTTGTGGTGAACAGTGGTGAGCGGTGGCCGGCCGCAGCACGCCCCCTGGCGGTGGCTGCACACTCCACTACAGAGAGTGCAGGACGCAAAATAAAATTCCGCCTAACATTAAATTTGCACCCTGCCATCTTTGAAGTGGCGTTAGTATAAAAGGACATTTGTACTTATCGCGTCAGATACGACTACGACGATGTGAAAAGTTCTTTGGTTTTTGTTCCTTAATTATGTATATCGAAATGCTAAGATAATCATTAAATATGGAAATAAATGATAAGGCCGTTCCGGGGCAGAGTTGAGAAACCATTGGCTATTCGATTGTGATTTTTATACATTTTCGATTTATTTTAATTGGGTTTTCGGCTACTAAATTAGTGTTTAGATTCTGTGATTTTATATGTACCTGTGCGGTACGCTGGTGTGATGATGTTTTTAATGCTCTGTCTTGGTCGGTGTAAAAAAATAAACGGTTTTTATTCATATTTTGTTGTTTACCTTTCTCTTTTCCTATCCCTCAATTACATACATAAACATAAATACATGTAATACTGTGACTATTATAAAAAGCAAAAATACCTGGCCATCTAAACTGGTTGAAAAAAAAAAGAAATAACACAATGGTCAAATCTATATTATTTACAGTTCCAATCAAAACTAGGAAGTTAAAAACTTCTATTTCAATTAAATAATAACTACCATCTTTCAACTGCATTAACTAATATTAGATGAGGTCGTGTCTAAGCGCAAGTTTAGTCTTCATTAAAAAAAGTTAAAGGTGTTTAAGACCCACCAGTACACCAGTTTATTTGATAAATGATTTGACTGGTGATTATTACATTAGGAACTCTAATGACATGAACAGTGTGGTATTTGATTTTTAAAAAATACTCGCTGTGTGTGGATAAATGAGACGTAGGTAAGACAAAATATTAGTTAAAGTCACAATTAGAAAACAAAAGTATTGGCCTACCTAAAAATGCGAAAATTTTAATAACGACAACTAGGATAATTAAAAATTAAAGATTTTTTTTGTGTCTGGTTGTTTCTGCACTTTGTTATAATATAATTAACAAGATTTAAATACGTCACAAAATTACTTTTAGTTTCAATACGACATTGATACGACAAACCTCACATCCATGTAGAAATACGTTCTGCGTAAATGTAAAGAATATTCTATAATACATGTAATAATATTGCACAATACGATTTCAAATAATGTAAGTCATCGTGTTTGTTTATAAATAAACAATGCGATAGATGCATGCATAAAAACAAGGAAAACAATATAAGTACTACGATGACTTTGCCAAGAACGGAACGTAATAAATTGTTTGCGACCTGTCATAACAATTGTGAAGTTAGTTTTGGTGAAGTGAAGTTCGTGCAAGTGTTGTTATGATGGCTCTGAGATCTGTGATATCCTCTAAAATACCAATGGTGATTATTCTTGGTGCAACAGGAACTGGGAAAACGAAACTAAGCTTGGAATTAGCACAAAAGTTTGAAACAGAAATTATTAGTGCTGATTCAATGCAGGTTTGTATCCTAACCTCAAATGTGTTTTTCACGTGAAGTTCAGTAGTAATTTCTATTCGATAGTACAATTTTTATCGATCGTTGGTAATCTATGCTTTGTTTTTGACTAAATTAATGTTATTTGATAATTTTTAGCCCTGAAAGTTATATAAAAAAGGATTTTATAACCTAAGAAAATGTGGATTGCCTTTTAAGTTGTTAACATATGGGAACAAATCTTTTGCTTAACAAGATTGTTTAAAAATGACAAACAAAACTACAAAAGTAATATACAAAGTCTGTTAAAGAAAATGTGATATAATATATATTACATACTTATATCTAAAAGATGGTACTCTCAATTGCACAGCGTTGCAGGAACCAAAAACTACTTGTCTTCAAATAATTTAACAGAGGATACTAATATGCTTAGTTGATAGTAAATGGTGATTGATTACAAAATCTAAATTTTTAGGTAAGAAAACAAACATATTTAAAATATTTTGAGTGAATGTTATTCATGAATTGAATTAACAAATATAGCCGTAAATATGTGTCAAGAAGATACATCGTCAGAAGGGAAAGGACTAATGAGTAAGGTCTAACAATATATATTAAAAATGTCCTTTCTAATAAGAATACTTTTCATCCAGAAGTACTATGTCTAGTATGGATAGTAGGAGGTTGTTTAAAGCGGAATGAGGAGTTCATACTGTAGAAACCATGCGGGTAGGCCTTTCTTTCTGTAATAAATCATCATCTCCCTGGCATTATCCAACTGACATGGGTTCTGTGCAGAAAGATGTAAAACCTCAATGTTTTGGCTTAGTATTTTTACAAGCTCAATATTTATAAATTACTTCTAAAAATATGTGAATTATAAATACAAATAAACATAAGTAATTAAACATTAAAAATTGAATATAACTTCAAGTTCTTGCCGCTTAGAATTGTTTATGTACATAAATAAAAAATAGTGTTTGCATGCTTGTATTCATTTTTAACCCGCTGTAATGATCTTGAATAAATTTTATAGGATACTCTGAAGATGCTTGAATATATTTGTACCTAAATAATTAAAAAATATAAAAGTAATTGTTGTCAATATAAGTATATTGTTATATTACTAACATTACTTATTACTTTACTTTTACTATTATAATATTATGGAAGCGAATGTTTAGATGGATCAATAGATGGATGTTTGTTTGAAGATATCTCCGGAAACAGCTGAACGGATCTTGATGAAATTTGGCATAAATGTAGAACATAATCTGAAATAACACATATGCTACTTATTTTTTAGTCCCGTGCAGCTGGAGTCAAATATATTTTTTGGACTTCATCCATAAAGCCAGTTCTTTAGAGCACTTTTCATGTCTTTGCTTTTTCATAGATAATGTGAGTGTTGATAATACAGCGAAACCCCATAATTATGATTTCATCCATAATATGTTTTAAAGTAGGCTACCACATTATTTGTGCTTGAATGTACTGCAGACCTTCCATATTTTAGATGAATTGAACGGAGAGAATATTATAAAGGCAAATAAAGTAAGAGCTGTTTACAACAATAATTAGAATTGATTAGGACATTGGAGCATCAGTGGCTCAGGGGTTAAGCAGATGACTTGTAATCTGCAGGTCCTGGATTTGAATCCTGCTATGTATCACTATGTTTTTTGATTTTCAGTAGGCTCCGAACCTCATGATGATCACAACAAATATTAAGTTAATGACAAAAGTTAAATCTTATAAGAATTTTTATGTAGTACATAAATAAATGAGTCAATGAAAACATTTTTAGGACACAAGGATTTTTTTAGGTTACACAGCTGAAGAACTGGGACGCATATAAATCTTTATGAAAGAATTTCACTTGCACTCCGGCCGAGTTTGTCTACTTTTTATTATATAACACCGCATCGTGGGATGGCTAGCAGCCTTCAGTTGGGTAGCTAATACTATAGTATATCCTAAATGTGCAGATAAAACTCTCCAGAGCTTGAAAACAACAATAAATTATGGTGTGAATAAACACAGGTGCATTTTTTAGGCCAAACGGCTTCTTACAAGACCTTGGAAATTGTTAAGAGATATTTTGGAGTACTCGAGTGCTGACGTATATGTTTGGATTGCATATGCTTTTGCATCCGGCCAAGTATTTTAACAAAACGTTACAGAAATGAATATATCTGCAAAACATTTCTAATTAGAATTAGTTTAAAAGGTATCTTAGTATGAACGAATATTTCAATGATGTTTTTTTGGATTTTAAAGGAGATTTATAAAATTGCTAAACTGTGATAACTAATTTTAGTAATTAACCTACTAAGCGAAGTTCATAAATTCAAAACATATCTTCGCCTTGTCATTTTGACTATCCTAATTTTATAATTTAGCTACAACCTTTTATGTGAAACTTAGGTAATTTTATTAAAACTTGTTTAGGGTTGGGTTTTCATAATAAACATGAGTAGCGAATTATTCTAGTCACTCTTCTATAAATAAATGTCATTAAGCAAATTGAGTTAGTGAACTGGAGTGGCAATTAGTGTTACATTTGAGACGTGTGTCCGGAAAGCTGTTTGGAACGATTCCAGCCGCTGGCCAGTTTCGATGTTTCGCTTCCCATACTTTCCCGCAATTTCTAGTCATATTGTAAAATCAACTTTCGCTTTTTCTTTGCTAAGATCTTCTGATTGCTATAATATCTTATAATGTGATTATAGTTCCCACATAGTTCATTACGACAAATACGCCCTTTTACGCTATACCACGCAACGAAGATTTTTAAGTTACGACCCAAAAAAATATGTCGTATTACATTCAGTTATTTTTTGGGTTTTGATAAAAATCAGTATACTGTTCATATTATGTGATTCTTGCTTACAATTCTTATTGGAATATAGTTAACAAGTTTGATAGACACGTTCGCCTTGCACACCGTAACACAAACCATGGTATACTCGTATCAGAGGACGATCCGATTAGAGCAACGGTGCAAATGCGGCGAGACGCTTTTCCAAATTTACATCACTTAAAATTGTCGCATTAACACATATGCGTTACTTTTGTATCGTGCGTATATTGTTTTTGTTAATGTTTAGTGTTTTGTTTGTTAGGGTTCACTATTATAATAGACACTGTTGGTAAGTATAGTATTTTTTAAATATCTGGGCAGCTCAAGGTCATCGATGCGCTGCGCAGTACCCTTCTACGCTACAAGTCCTTTACACCTAAAATGTGTTCTGCGAATCTCGCACGAAGTTACGAGCTGCCAAGATATCGGACAACTAGTGTAATAAATACTCTGTCAGGTGCTTTATTACTTAGTTATTTACTTTACTAATAGGTTATAGAATTTGTCAAATGTACCAATAAGATTTGAATAAAATTCAGATTAAAAACCACTTTACGTATAAACACGTAGTATTTAGTATAATATTTATTGTATAGTTTAATCTGTATATTGCGCATGTACTTGACGAATTGGGCAGGCGGCGGTCGTGTTTGCATTCCGTCGAGTTCGTCGTCTCGTTCAAGGCCGGGTGCTGTGCCACCCCGCGGCGCCTCCGCTGCCAAACTTGGTGCGCGTTCTCCGACCGGACTGTACCTCCGCCACATACCTTCGGACCGTACATCAGATATACCTTCGGAATACCACCGGACCATCTTGCACATATTATCCGTCGAATTTGGCGGCCCACGATCAACTTCGCCTCGGTACACCTTAAATTGTGTTCTGCGCAGCGACTTAGCCGCCAAGATTCAAGTTCTAGCAAATCCAGACCTACTAATGTTTACAAACAAATCTGTCAACTAGTTATAATTTGTGTCGCAATAGATTTCCGTAAACATATTCGACCTTTGTGGTAGGTGTGATTGTTTAATAAATATTAAATTAACTATTTATTTCAATAGTTTCTATATATTATAGAAGAAGATGTTAAATGATAAGCCT